CCCACCAAATTAAACCCCTCCAAGGAAACCCCAGTACCCCCAGCAATGCCCAGCAGCTCATCCCCCTCCTTCATCCCCAGCCTCAGGTGGGGCTGCAACCCTGTGCCTCTGCCATGGGCTCCAGGCACTTCCCCGCGCGGACTGTGCTCTTCGAGAAGGAATCCAACGGTGTCACCTACCGTGTGCCTGCCCTGCTCTACCTGCCCTGCGTGGCCAAGCTGCTGGCGTTCGCCGAGGAGCGGATCAGCGCCGACGATGCCCACGCCAACCTGCTGGTGCTGCGCCGTGGCACCATCTACGGCAGCTACGTGGAGGTGGGACAGGGGCTGCACCTGGGGCTGGGGCACAGGGACAGAGGAGGCATGGGAGGAGTTGTCCTCATAACTAGTGTGTGGCACAGCTGAACTCCTGGAGGCAACCACATAGGGGGAGGGTGGGATGGGGAAGGTGAAGCACAGAATCACAGGGTGGTTTGGGTTGGGAAGATGTAAAAGGTCATCTCATTCCAACCTCTGCCATGGGCAGGGATACCTTCCACTAGTCCAGGTTGTTCCAAGCCCCATCCAAGCTGGCCTGGAATACCCCCAGGGATGGGGTAGCCACAGCTTCTTTGGGAAAAAAGGGGGGATGGTTGCCACCCACTCACCCCTCTCCATCCTCTCCTCTCCCTCCTCCCTGTGCAGTGGGAAGATATGCGTGTGCTGGAGACAGCAACGCTGCAGCACCACCGCTCAATGAACCCCTGCCCAGTCTACGATGAGTTCACTGGGACCCTCTTCCTCTTCTTCATCACGGTGCTGGGCAGGACACCCGAAGCCTACCAGATCGTCACCGGCCAAAACGTCACCCGCCTATGCTGCGTCACCAGCGCCGACCAGGGCCTGAGCTGGAGCACAGCCAAGGACCTGACACAGCAGGTCATTGGTGGCACCATCAAAGGTATCCAGCTGGAGAGCGGTGAGGAGTGGGGAGAACAGCCAGCAAGGGCTGACGATGGGTTTTGGCCTCCATGGTGTGGCTGGAGGTGGCCTTGGGGTAGGAAGCCCACAGGCTTCCAAGAGATAGGGTGGAAGGGAACCTTAAGTGGAGGGGAGCGAGGGAGCGTCTGTATTGCTTGCATGGGGGTGGGGAAAACATGAAGAGGCCTCACAGCCATGGGCAGGACCATATGTGAGGATGACCAGGAAGCACTGGGCTCTGCCATCCTCCCACCTGGCTTGGCTGGACTGAGAGGAAGCCCTGGAGACTCTTCCATGTTGGGCACCATGGTGGTCCCTCTTTACCCTATCCCATCTTCACCCCATCCCATCTCTACTCCACAGACTGGGCAACATTCGCCCTGGGCCCCGGGCACGGGATCCAGCTGCGTTCTGGGCGGCTGCTGGTGCCTGCCTACAGCTACCACATCGACTGCAAGGAGTGCTTTGGGCAGCTCTGCAAGACCACCCCACACTCCTTCACCTTCTACAGCGACGACCATGGCCGGCGCTGGCGCTTCGGGGAGTTCATCCCCAACCTGCAGACGGGCGAGTGCCAGCTGGTCTCGGTGGACGAGGAGGATGGATCCAACGTCCTCTACTGCAACGCCCGCAGCCCCCTGGGCTTCAGGGTGCAGGCACTCAGCACGGACGATGGGGCCGTGTTCCACGGAGGGCAGCTGGTCCAGCGGCTGGTGGAACCCCCCCATGGCTGTCACGGCAGCGTCATCGGCTTCCCAGCGCCGTTAGTGTATGTCCCCACCACCCCCCAAGACCCTGTGATGTCCCTTCGGGGCTCAGCTCAGCGGCTGCTCCCTGGGATGCTCTGGGGATGTCAGTCCCTGCCCACCCAGGAGGCAGCAGGGGATGAGTTGCACACCGTGGCAACCAGCAGCCACCACGAGCCAGACGAGCCCGATGAGGACTGTCCTACCCCAGGGCATCACCACCATGCCCACAGTGGCACCTTGGTCCAGGGGGACCCTGCAGTACCCCCCGGCCCCACTCCCTTCTTCCAGGCACCGACATGGATCCTCTACTCCCACCCCACCAGCTCCATGTCACGGGTCAACATGGGGGTTCACCTGAGCACCTTCCCCAGGGACGCAGAGAGCTGGACTGAGCCCTGGGTCATCTACGAGGGCCCCAGTGCTTACTCGGACCTGGCGTACATGGAGCTGCCCTACCCGGAGGCGCCGGTGGCCGGTGGCACTGCCATCGCCTTCGCCTGCCTCTACGAGAACGGGATGAGGTCTCCCTACGAGCAGATCTCCTTCAGCATGTTCACCCTGCACGATGTGCTGCAGAACATCCCCCTGACAGACACTGCTCCCCAGCGGCGCCGCCGCCCACGCCGTGGCAAGTGGTGGCCAAGGAGCTGCCTCATCTCCTAGTGACCCCTGGGTCAGTGTCCCTGTCCCCCAGTGCTGCGTCCTGGGGCATCAGCCTGGGGTCCTGCCGCCATCCAGCACGACCACTTCACACAGAGGTCTGTGTTACTGCCCCCAAACGAGGTTTTAATCTCGTTTTTATTGCTATTTTTTAATCATCTATGGGTTTGGTGGGGAGGTTTGTGCCCCCAGCCCAGCCCCAGGCTCCTTCCTGAGCACGTGAGCCTCCTCAGGACACAGAGACTGGGGGCAACAGCAGCAGTGCAGGGGGAGGCAGCCAAGGGCATCCCATGTGCCAAGTGCTGGGCTAAGGGGACATGATGCTCCAGCTGTGCCATACCTGGTGCCACCACCCTGCTCCGAGGGCTTCCTCCTTTTGTTGTAAGTATTTATGTTATAGAGTGTTAAATTGTCTCTGTTTAATGAAAAGACTTTTCTCAGTGGTCTCGCTGAAGTCACTGTGAGGGTTGGGGCTGGGGGAGGTCAGTTCCTGCATCATAGCTAGGATGGGGTTGGGCTTTGGATTTGGGCTGGAAACTGTGGATGATAAAGAGAAGTTTGTGTTGTCACTTGTCTGTCTTGGGTTCTATTTCTCTTTCTTTGGTGTTTTCTTTTTCATTATGATTTATTATTTCAATCATTAAACTGTTCTTATGTTACTCTACAAGGTTTCTCCCTCTCCTTCTACCTCCCCAATTCCCTCCCTGTCCCATGGGATGGGGATGAGCCAGTGACTGTGTGGTGCTCAGGTGCCAGCTGGGGTTCGACCACCACAGTCACCCAGTTACTGTTTAACCTGGCCCAGAGCTTTGGGTTTTCATCTGCCATGGCCATCACTGCTTTCCTTTGACCTTTGTCAGTGTTAGGACAAACACCCTCCCAGCAGGTACAGGCTGAGGGTCCCTGTAAAAAGTTAGGGGATGCACTGAAAACCAGTGACCCCTGTGAGCACAGATGTGGGGTCCTGGTCCTGGGGATGAGCAGCAACTGCTCCTGACACTTGTGTGGGGGTGAACCTTGTGGGAGGTTACACCTCAATTCCAGCTCTGCCTCCCCCAGCACAACACAATACAAACTGCTTAACAAAACTGAGTTGGTGTCCAGCCCTTACCTCTGCCAGCACCACGGTGTCACATTTTGCACTGGGGTGGATGGAGGCTGATGGGGAGCGTCCGGGGAAGCCGCTG